TCGAGTTTTATAAAACGATCTTCGAGTTTTATAAAACGATCTTCGAGTTTTTATAAAACGATCTCTCGAGTTTTATAAAACGATCTCTCGAGTTTTATAAAACGATCTCTCGAGTTTTATAAAACGATCTCTCGAGTTTTATAAAACGATCTTCGAGTTTTTATAAAACGATCTCTCGAGTTTTATAAAACGATCTTCGGGTTCTTATAAAACGATCTCTCGAGTTTTATAAAACGATCTTCGAGTTCTTATAAAACGATCTCTCGAGTTTTATAAAACGATCTCTCGAGTTTTATAAAACGATCTCTCGAGTTTTATAAAACGATCTTCTAGTTTTATAAAATGATCCTCGAGATTCATAAAACTGTTGCGTTTACGCGTTTGCGGGGAATTTTGGCTATTTATTCCGTCGTACCGATTTTGACCCCAACAAGCACTGGCCGGTGGTCTGATCCTCTCTTGTCCTAGAAGGACTGATTTGAGCAGGGGAACTGATCATACCACGTCTTGTTACCAAAGCATCTGTCCAGCCTTGACTGTATCCATTGCTTGTACCTTTGTCCCCCCCCCCAAGTGAATCCATTACCATGACTAGGTAATTCCTCCAGCTTACAAGCTTCCACCATCTGATTAAACGGAGCAAAAGACTCATCTGATCTCCACACACCACCTATCTTTTCTCCATTATGCAAAATATCATTAAAGTCCCCAAGAACAAACCAACTGTCACCTCTATTTACACCAATCCGACTTAACCGCTCCCATAAGATCAACCTACTCCTTAAATCCGAAGGAGCATATACACAAGACGCACATAACGACACTTCTCCATACTGAATTATAAAATATATTAAGTTCTTTCTTACAATCTTAAATTTAATATTTACAGACTTTTTCCGAAATTTACAATTTCACGCCTGACCAACAAGATCTACAGTAACTACCTGATCATAACCTAACCATACTTGTAAATCTAGTAATACATCTCTACAATTCATAGTCTCCATCAAGAACAACACCTCAGGGAAATGTTTTTTACGCAACTCCCTTAGGCGTGAAATTGTCAGGTCTTGAGGGAGTCCCAATCCCTGACAATTCCAGCTAATTATGCTCATTGAGACTTCGGCGATCCCTCATGCGGGATCACCCTTTCTTCTTTACGCCTTGCAATTTTTTCCTCATAGAAATCCTCCCCTGCTACCTTCCTTTTCATTCCAGTCTTTTCCTTTCCTGTTTCACTCCCATACAGTTCCTGAAGAATGTTTAGTGGTTTCCTCTTCTGCTCCTGTCTTTTCCAGATATAAGGTCTTCGTCGAGGCTTAGTATTCTTTAAGGGCACCCCGGATGGTCTATTCATATATGAAGTAGAACCATATTCCGTAGAGTAGCCACCCAAACTGAGTGATACATGATTGTTATGTATGACCTTCACTACCTTATTCATCTCAGGATTAGACACAGTTGTAAACGGACCTTCCAATCTGCTCCTGGTCAACGCCTCCCTTAGGTCCCTCTCTTCAGCTTGCGCTATCGGAGTGGCCATCTTGTTTGCTTTAATGGCTGATCCCATCAGTTTTTCTTTTGTTCCTCCTTCCTCATCTCTTGTATGTGCTTCTGTATTGAGATCAAAATCAAACACCACACCTTTCCCTTTATCTATCTGCTTGGTAAATTTTGGCATTGGTTCTAGCCTGAGCACCGTCTTCTGTTTCATCGGATCTTTCTCAGCTTCTGCCACAGATGTTCGAATCCTATCAATTCGAATGGACTTATCTTCTTCATTAGCCATCATCAAGTATCTTCTCATCTCCTCTAAGACCTCTAGTGCTATCTTTCTTCTTCCAGTCTCCTTGCAGATCCCCATTTGTATTGACATGAAGCAATATTAAGGCAAAGAGAACATTCAGAAGCATAAAGGAGCATTTGGTCGTGATGACTTGAGATACAAGGATATCCGTACACACTTGGCTTACAAGGCACCTCATTAGGTCGAGAGTGAACTTGGAAGACAAGGAGGATTAATTTAAACAATTCTGATGGTACATAGTGGAGAAGAGATCCGTTGGAGAGTGATGACAAGAGATTCAAGTCGGCCAGATTTAAATAAGGTTTCCTCCCTCTCTCCTTGGAACCGTTGAAGACAAGTCACTATCACTCTTCAG